CAGACCCAGGACCCCACCGCATAAAAGCTGGCCAGGGTGTCCTTAGGAGACAGCGGTGTAACTCTGGTTATACCTGGCGCCCAATAATTTAGTAATTCATTAATTATTTCTCGCGGTGCCATTTATTTCTGCGTCACCGTTAAAAAGTGTCGTCACAATACATACGTACATACGGACATTTTTTCTAAACTACTTTTCTTGACGTTTTACACCGTGTTAAGTATTCTAACATGAAAATCTCGAAAAAAAAAATTTCATGAAAACATAGCTTCCTCTATGAGGAAGCAAAAAAAGGCAATATGTATGATGCTTCTATAATATAAGGTATTTCTTATAGAAAAACCGTGTTCTACTTTATCATGCTACCTCCTTAGAGTAATTAAAAAAAGGTTACCGACTGGTGGTCACTGCATAATTACCGACTGTGATAGGCCCCTGGGGACATGCAGCACCGCTGCTACTGGGACTTCGGGCCTTAGGACCAAGTCCGCATAGTGGGGGGCCATCACATTGATAAGGGGGGTTTGAAAGCCAACCGCATGAGCGAGGGGGTGACGCCGTAGTGCGGTGTGGGGGTCAGAGCGCGGTGCACTGTATGAATCATGGGGGACAGTGGTGGGGGTTTGTTGTGACAGCTAGGAGTGGCCTGTAACTACTGACGCTTAAGAGAGCTGCAAATTATAACAACGACAGATCCTACTCATTACAAGCAACCCAGAAAGCCACAAATGAACAGATAAAAATTAACGATTTCAAATAAAAAAGATCTCACTCCAGATCACCATAAATTCGATCGGTACGGAACATAACACTTCTCTAGGTGTGTTGAATTTTCTATTCTCTAGAGGGGATTACTTGACGGGGAGCATTGCGTCTTCATGGTCGTACTGACTCTGATTCTTCCGAAGAACTGTACTCTATTCAGTGTAAATCATAGCGACTTTGCAAAAATAATATACATATTTGCAGGTTCCCATTTAGCCAGCTTAAACGAGAGTCAATAGCTAGTGACACAGCGTCCACTAAGCTATAATTCATATTTTATTGGCATCTGACCCTCATAACCAAGATATCCAACTAAATTAGAAACTGTAATACCCAGTGTCGGCACAGCTTCCGAATATTGAGTCTTACATTTCATCAATTTAATAAGAATTAAGATCAAATTTCTGAATCGCGTTTAATTTAATAAGAGTATTATGAATGATCATTAAGCCACACGGTGTATTAGTTCAGACTCCTTAGATAAACTACCGTGCAGTTTTTATTATTAAAACGCGTGTGATACTTTATCGACGTGATCAGTGCACGAACTTCGTAAATACGCGATCCGAAAAATTTCTTATCCCTTCGGTTAGATCGCGGAACATTACACGAGGTAACAATAGGGATTTCATATTGTATAACGTTTGTCTTCTCTATTCGTTTACTAGACAGGGATAAGAAGAGAAGAGACTATAAGACGCTGCTTAAATAGGAAAACAAACGACTTTGATATCAGCACTTGAGTAGGAGTATTGAATATTTTGTATGTCATATATTTTGAAATATATTCCCTTTAAATTTACTTTGTTTTCGATATTTGTGTTGAGTATTTATTTGTGGATTTAATTCCTTTTGTTAAGGGGCGCCTTAATACTTGGTCAATGCCTCATAAATTGCAAATTATTTCAATTTCGACGAATTAGATCAAAAACTAATGTTCATAAGGAAAGCGCGTGGTCCTTTCTACACTAAAAACGGGTGCATAAACAATGCCCCGATTCAAACTTTATACGCGAATACTTTTATTCGTAAAATGGATTTGAAATTTTATTTGAACCAGCAGCAAATGACATTTCATGTTTTATGTTTCTGGTTTTGTCGAAAATCTTATATTTTAGCTTTATACTTTATATTATAAACACTCATAAATATCTTATGAGATGACAATTTATTACAAATTTATTATAAAGCAATTACTGTAAAAGACCTAAAGAAAATTAATCATCTCACGCACAATGAATATTTCATAGAAAAAAGTTTCATATTACATTATCTGTATACCCTTGTGGACTTTTCCTAAAGTCCTGGTCGATTCCACCACCAATTTTAAAGCCGCATTTCATTACTTCCTCTCCGTTGGCATTAATTTCAGGTTCTTTGTGCAACGTAATCGGAATCTGAAACAGAAGTGCAGTACTTATATAATTCAACATAAAATTCATTAGTTGCATTACATACACAGGTCATTTCAAGAGTATTTCGGCAGTAGTTACGAGGAGTACTGAAATGGACTATCGTACTGTAAGTAGGTAATTATTAAATAGTTATATTATTATTACGAAATGTCTCTCAGAACCTTGTTCAAAGTTAAAAGTTGTAATATATTTTCTTAACTCGACACCGATAACAAAAATCCAAGAACACCCAAGTTACCTTCGACCGTCCACTCTTTGTCCATACATCCGCATGCCAAATGGGCACCAGCCGATTATTTTTTTCACTGGGAACTGACGAGCCGGTATGATCTGGAAGTTCAGGTGGAACAATTTCAACCCTGTCAAAACGAGAGCTCTGACGTAACCACACGAAGAAATTGATAGGAATTTCTGGATATCGCGAAAGCAGCGTGAGAACTACATAGGCGAAAACTTTCTATATCGTATAGGAAACACAGCTAGAAAAACTATCAACAGATAGCACGGGAGCACGAGCCAGCTCGAGGCATCTCAAGCAGTCTTTCAAGACAACTGCTTTGACAATAGTACAATTCGAGAACTAGCAATTCTGATTAGTTGAAATTCTTATAGCCGAAACTATTATTCTTTTCCTCAAGTCGTCCCTTTTATACCAAATCAAGAGCGTTCCTTAGCGAATTGACACGTACATTTTCGAGATCCTTCACGGTCGCTTCCCCAAGGCATCAGGCAATAACTGGACACAACAACGATAACTCGGATCAGGGGGTTCCTCCGTTCCGTGAAGACGTTTCCGTCGGGTACTCTGCTCTGTCAGGTAACTCAGTACGTCGAGACTATCGAATCTTTCTAAAAAGCATTGGCGTAATTGTATGAATCAATACAAGAGCGTAGCTTCTGAGGAGGGTGGCGACTCAATAGGGACGAGATAGCGAGAACCTTATCTGAATCGGTAGCCGGAGTCGCCTTCTGATCGTGAGTCCAAAAATCACGTCACATCCTTTACACTAGGGCGAACTAAGCAGAGCATACACTAAAATCGATATTCTTTCTTAAAATAATACACCCAATGGAGGGACAGTGAAATCAAGGATAACTCATTTTGGTTGAAAATTGCATATCAAACATCAATGAAAAAATAATAGGTAAATAACATATTATAAATATACTAAAAAGCTCAAGGCCCATTACGTAAATCATATGCTTGCTTCTTATGTATTTGTCATTGCAAGAAATATTAGGTTTGTAATCGCGCAATTTTCAGATTACAAGTATATATACATATATGTGTATGTGATACATGTGATACATATGATACATGTATTAATATCTCCTACATTTGCAACATGCTATCGCTTGTAAATTTCAATCCAATCGGCTCAGCCTCTACAATGGTAGATGCAGAGACATTTGGAACACGCATAAACACGCATTAGAGCATATAAGAGATTCTTATACACAGCCAATTATAACACAGACCCCCCCCCCCCCC